CAGTTGTCGAGCTCTAACCACCTGAGCTACAGAGAGACAGTTGTCGAGCTCTAACCAACTGAGCTACAGAAAGACAGTTGTCGAGCTCTAACCAACTGAGCTACAGAGAGACAGTTGTCGAGCTCTAACCAACTGAGCTACAGAGAGAAAGTTGTCGAGCTCTAACCACCTGAGCTACAGAGAGACAGTTGTCAAGCTCTAACCACCTGAGCTACAGAGAGACAGTTGTCAAGCTCTACCCAACTGAGCTACAGAGAGACAGTTGTCAAGCTCTACCCAACTGAGCTACAGAGAGACAGTTGTCGAGCTCTACCCAACTGAGCTACAGAGAGACAGTTGTCAAGCTCTACCCAACTGAGCTACAGAGAGACAGTTGTCGAGCTCTAACCAACTGAGCTACAGAGAGACAGTTGTCAAGCTCTACCCAACTGAGCTACAGAGGACAGTTGTCGAGCTCTACCCAACTGAGCTACAGAGGACAGTTGTCGAGCTCTGACCACAGTTCATGTATAAATACTAAGGTGACGTCAATGACTCAATGTAAGGTGTATAGGTAAATATAAACAAGGCCGCAGGAAGCTCTTATTGATTGGGGGAGGGGGGGCTGAAAGCGAAGGCCGAAGGCCCGAGGAAATTTTTTAATTTAGAGTCTCTGAAATGCCATTTCCTGGACTTTGGGGAAGATTTGACAGAATTCTGATGGTCCGAAAACAGCGTTTTAGCATGTCGAAATTTACAATTTGGTAGTACTAAATGGGCGAAGGTGTATTTAATTAACTGTATATTGGATAAGTTGCAGGAAAGTATGAGTAATATCTTCACTCTCTTGCAGCTTGTCATGGATAATCTAGCCGCTTAAAATTAATAAAGCTTAAACTTGATAAAGGTCTGCATGATTTTGAAAAAATGATTATTAGCAAATTATTGGGGGGGAGGGCTGCAGCCCCTCCAGCCCACCGGTTGCTACGGCCTTGATAAGGATCTGGAGCATCTACACTCGATATAAGTAATTGTTTGTAGACGGAAATTTCGAGTAGAATTTTTATACAATTATTAAGAGTTTTTTTTTGTATGTTACGTAACACGCGCTCAAAACTAATGCGTATAATATATCGCTTGAGGTTATGACTAAATTCAAAATTTTTATTTTTCGATACGTTTCTCAATCGGCAAACAAACTTAAAAAGTATGTTTAGTCCTTTATCTGTAAAATAATGCTAAAATGAAGAGATTTTAGGTGATACGCCAAAGAGAAAATTATGTCTGAAGTTCGGTAAGTTTTGCTTATATGGCTGTAAATATGGCGTCAATTTTAAAGCATCATGCATTGATATTTGTATTTTAATTGACAGTTTTTAACTATTATTTTATGTTTCTCAACCAGCAGATGCATTTAAAAAGGTTGCTAACTCTATAAACTAGAGAATAAAGCTAAAACAAAGTAATTCTGAGAGGAACGCCAAAAAGATTTTAAGTTTTGAACACTTTTCATTGCAAATACGTGACATTGAAAAAAATTCCCTTTTTAAAAACCTAACCGGGAGCAGTTGTGAAGAATGCAACTATAGTCTCTCTGGCAGGAATCAAACTTGTACAAACTCTTAACATTTGGCGACATTACCAACAACACAAACTTAAAGCAAGAAATTGGTAGCCATTTCAATAGATATAATCAATTATGCATGATGTCTGCATGTATTTTTATTGGGGAGAAACTAAAAATTAATACAAACTATAAAAATTGTTTGGTAAAATTTCTTAGTAACACGTTTTAGCACTTTGACTGTCCGACAAAAAAGCGTTGCCGTGAATAAAATTCAATAATAAATCGACCGAAAAATATGGCTTGTGAAGGTAGATCCCAGACTGCATGCGGCAGGTTTAAATTAATATGGTGGCCAAAGTAAAATCTCAGGATTAAGTCCGCTTTTAGCTGTTATAGTAATTACTGTGTCTGTTTTTACCACTGGAGCACTATGTTCTGTACTATTTAAAACACGAGTAGGAGTGTTTTATCAGATATAAAACGCGAGGCGCAGCCGAGCGTTTTATGTCTGATAAAACACGACAACGAGCTTGATGATGATGATGAATATTTAATCAGGTAACCTACTCGCCAAGGCGATTTTCAGTAGGGACCTGGTACAATATCGTAAAAGTGATACAATGAAAATTACAAAGGTTAAATAAAAATAAATCTATCAATAAGACTAAATACGTTCATAGTCAATTCTCAAAATATGTAAATCACTAAAAATGTGTTTTAAGTATAGCTAAAGAGTTACTATTTCGAACATCATTGTTTAAGGAGTTCCAATCGTCAGCAACCTGATAAACAAGTCTCTGTTTTCCCCAATTAATCTATAACACGGGGGAGATGGAGGTTGTTTTTTGTCCGAGTGTCGTAGACATGAAGCATAGCATTAGATATAAAATTAAAATCATAATCAATCAGTTTGTTAATTCCTTTATACGCTACGCTATACGCTACAGCGGTGAAAAAACCGTCTTTCAAATAAACGTTTCATATTAAGACAATTAAGTGCTTCGGTGGCTATGCTTCTTGGAGAAAGATCCGGCATAATTTTGGCTGACTTGTTTTGTAAAATTTGCAAATGTTCCATCAAAGTAGAATTGTTTTTATCACCCCAGATTATGTCCCCATAATCAAGTATATAGAGGTAAAACCAAAGAGTGATACAGGATAAGTCTCGCACTATGAGGTATAAGATGTTTAACCCTACAGATAACACCAAGCCTTTCATTTATTTTCTTAATAACACTGTCCACGTGCTCGTCCCAAGTCATGTGTTGATGTAAGGTTACACCAAGGTATTTGAAAGATTCCACTTCTCAAAAACATCATCATTTATGCCAATTTTGAAAGAGACATGGACTTTGCTCAATTTTTGAGGACTCCCAAATAGCATTTATTTACACTTGGAAGCATTTAATGCTAATAAGTTTTGATTAAACCAATTTGAAACAATAGCCAGGTCTGAATTTAGAGTATCATTGATAGGCCTTGATATCGTCTGGTTTTCTACATGTAGACGAGTAATATATAACCGTCTCGTCTGCGTAAAAGACAATCTTGCTTGAGAGATTACACATTCACGTATATCAGCTTGCTTGAGAGATTACACATTCACGTATATCAGAAAAAGCAGGGGCCCCAAGATGCTTCCTTGAGGCACACCAACTCCAATAGGTGCAACTTCAGACATTTCCGAATTAATATTTGTAACTTGTGTTCAACATTCCAAGTACGATCGGAACCAACCAGTAGTATTCCTCTTCAAGCCAATAGCGTTCAATTTGTTTAACAAGACTGTATGGTCGATGGTGTCAAAGGCCTTTGATAGGTCTAAAAACAGAGCACCAGTGAGATAGCCATTGTCCATTTTCTCAAGAATGTTATCAGTAAAGTGGGCCAATGCTATAGATGTAGACAGCTTTGGTCTAAAACCGAACTGCTTCGATGTCAAGATCTTGTTAACAGTTAAGTAATTATATAGTTGACAATGAACTGCCCTTTCAAGGATCTTGGATACAGTAGGTAAAACCGTTATCGGCCTATAGTTTTTAGGATCAGAACGATTCCCTGATTTAAATAATGCCGTTATTTTACCGAATTTCCAAGACAACGGGAAATTTGAAGACTCAATAGACCGATTAAACAAGTTCGTCAAGCCTTCGGCAATAACATAAGCACCGTCCTTCCGAAATCGGGTATTGATCTTATCCATACCCACTGCCTTATTAGGCTTCAGTTTTAATAATTCATTCAAGACGAACTGTTTAGTAATCGGCTGAATTTCAAACGCGGACGGTAAACTTGGTATATTATTGTGAGATATTATAGATGCAAAAGACTTCAAACTATTAGCAATTTTAGATCCAATAGTTGAAAAATGCTGATTTAAAATGTCAGCAATGGTTTTAGATTCACTACATATAACACCATCAGCTTCAATGCAAGAGACTGGATTTGTTTCTTTATACGCGAAAGAATTTTGTTCAGAGTGTTCCAAAGTGTGCTTGAATTGTTTTTATTATCCTCAATTAACCTTGAATAATATTCGGATTTACATTTTCTAACTTCCTTATTAACTTTATTCCGGAGATCTTTGTACTGGGACCGCTGTTGTTTCAGTAAGATTGATAAAATGATGTATAAAACACATATATAATAAAAGAATAAGGCATAAACCTCGACTGCCATTAACAGCTGATATACAAGCGGCCATATTTGATTAAAATACCACTACAAAAGAATACTAATTAGAATGAACTATTATATAATCATACTAATGAGGATGAACAATTATATAATACCACATGCTTTATCAGATATAAAGTCACTCCACGTGACATATTATGGCTGACATGATTTGCCACAAGGTTTATGAATTATTGAGTATTTTAAGGTTATATATATAGGTCAGTGGTTACCGGGTAGAAAAAGTGTGGTCGCAATCTATGTAATGTAGTAGAAACTTTAGACATGCTGTTCCACATGCCTGCGGATGTTAATATACTAATGCATTTTTTTTCAAGGCTAAAAATAAATAGTGATGGCTCACAGTAGACTAAGTGATCCAGAATATAGAAATTGGGTTACTGTTGGTCGAGCAATCCAGATTACCCGGAACGGCTTAGAAACCATAATTCAAGATGCTGCTGACAACTACCACACATTATTGCTTGCAACTTTGCCAAATAATGAACCTGCGTGGAAATCTCACTTGTCGAAAACCCATCGATCAACTGACAAAAGAAAAATATCCTGGAGCAACACTGACAACACTCAGTGGTTGACCGTTGGTGCCTCATGGGAGATTGCAAAGATTTTCATGGCTCCCTTGGGACCGAGAAAGCTTGATGTAGTCAACGCCAAAACTACTGATATATCGGGACTGTTGAATGTATTAGAATGGTCTCCGAGAGGGACAAATAGTTTGTTCAACACAGGTGTCGATCTCTCGAAAATAGCAGCAGCAAGAAGTGCTAGGAATCTATGGGCGCATGCACCGTTGCTGCGTGTAAGTGATGCTGACAAAGTCAACGCGTTTGCATCTTTAACCTCGCTTCTTCAAGACCCAGAACTAAACGGTCACAAAGACGTCCAAGACGCCATAAACAAGCTTACTAGTTTACTCAATACTGGTCTAGCGGTTATTGAAAAGAAGGAATTGGAATTATTCGTTCAGTTACAACGTCAACTTGGTCAAGATATAGTAAGTTTGGAAAGTGATATGAATTGTTGGAAAGATGAAGTCGGAGCGAACGTGGAGCAGATCAAAGATCAGATGAAAGGCTTGGATGAATTTGTAAAGAAAAACGAACTACATGACGCCCTGAAAACTGTCGAAAAAAGAATCAATCACTTGGAAGATTCTACGAACAGCCGGCTGGAAAACATAGAAAAGGCTATGTCAGAGTCCCATAAATTTTCTTGTGACGTGCAGCAGGAGCTAAAGTTCAATCCAGTCTCGGATCGAATGAAGGAAGAATTTGTTGGTCGTGAGTGGTTGTTCAGTGACATTCACAACTGGTTAGAAAAAGACCTCGGGCCTCGGGAGTCTCGTGCCTTCCTTATCTGGGGTGGTGCTGGAACAGGCAAAAGCTCGTTCGCCCAAGAGTTTGTCCATCGGCACGAGGGAGAAAAATTGGCTGGATACCACTACTGTCAAATAGATAACCCTCGCACCTGTGATTTGAAATCGTTAGTCAATAGTCTCAGCACAATGCTCTCGAAGAGTCTTTCCGAATATGCTGCCTTGGTTGAGAAACTACAGACTGATCAATTTCGAGATAATCATAACGCACTGTTCGATTTGTTAATTACTACGCCATTGCAGCAATTGAATGAAAATACCAGACATTTTCTTGTCATTGACGGCTTAGATGAAGGAGGTGCCATGATTGCTTCTTGCTTTGCCAGATTATCAGGAACACTTCCTTCGTGGCTTCGCGTCATTTTGACTGCAAGACACAATGCTCCCGCTCTATCGGGCCTTTTTTCAAATTCTACCTCTGCTAAACTAGACCAATTTGAGACTAGTCTCGAGTCTCTGTCTAGCAAAGATGTTCGTCAATTTGTCTCCATGAAGTACAGAAAACTTCAAACTGAATTTAACTGTATTGCTTCTTTCTTTGCTAATGACGAGCAAGTAGGCCAAGAGAAAATAGTTCAGGCTAGTCAGAACTGCTTTCTTTATGCTAAACTTGTGATGGAACACATCTTTGATGGCCATGATGAAATTGGTTTGCCTGCCTCGTTATCTGAGATTTACTGCTTGGACTTCAGGCGTCACTTTCCAAATATAGAATTCTTTGAGAAAAAAGTTGCACCTGTGCTTCAGATTGTGCTCGCCATTCAATCTGCTAAGGCTTTTATGGATAAAGAGATATATATAATAGGTATGTTTAGATTAAGATTTTCCCTTTCTGGGGAATATCAGTCGGTTTATAAGGCTTATAAGGAGAGCGATGAAAGTGTTACAGGGGTTGTGAAGCGTGGTTTGCTACCTGAAATTAAGATGCATGATCTCAATAAAGTCCTCGAACTTCTATCAGGCTACTTAGTAAAGGGTGATCCTGGTAAATATTATTTCAGCCATAGTTCTGTAAGAGATTGGTTGCAAGACGAAGAGTCAGATTTCTTTTGCGATGTACTCAACGGGCACTCGATTATGGCAAACTATAACTTGAAAGCTCTTAAAGTTAAGTATCCTTCACCTGAGAATTTTGGTGAAGATTTATGTTTTCATTGGAAACAGTCATATCCCATTGCTCTTCTCGACCTCAAATTCTTTTCTTTGCGTTATCTCTTTCATTCTAGTCAGAGCGGGAGTTCAAACGTGAATGTTCTGATATCTGAATTAGGTATTAAAGCGATCGACCTTCTTCATGCCGCATTTCACTGTGATACTAAATATGTCCATTTATTCCTTTGTTCCAAGTATATGGCGATAAAAGTTCTCGACGAAACAGATGTCTTGAATAAAATGACCATACAGGAAAAAGCTCAATATCTTACGCTGGCTGTTTCGTTGCGTTATGCAAAAATTACAGCCAAGTTCTTTGATAGCCGCACATACTGGATTTTTAGTGAAAACGCCATCAGTGAGTTGAACTGTCGTACCGAACTACTACAGCTTATCCCGAGGGAATCACTGCCCCAGTTATTCTTTTCGTGTCTCGCTAATCATGTTGATGACGATAAGATACATGTATTTGAATTTTGTCTAAACAAAGGACTGACGGCAGATGTATGTGTTCCTCAATTCTTTGAGAACACTAAGGGCTTTGACTCGTCCATCTGCTGGAACGAAGATGTCCAAGAGTATTTTAGAAAATTGAAGTCAGGAGAAAAGAATGTTATCACCTTGGAGTCCCTTAAAGAGAAGCCATTTTATCCAGAGGCAGCTAAAGTGTCGGAATTTACGTTGGAGATAATTAAGAAACCTCTTTCAGGTATTGATTGCAATTATTCTTGAAAGATGTAGGTGTGCATGGTAACAAAATTATTCTTTGATATAACGTTGATTACGCATATTCTTAAAAATAGATTTGGAAATAACCTAGTTTGTTATATATAAAAGCAATACACCTCATCGTATAGGCTGTATCCTGTGATCAAAAAAGTTGCTTATACCGGGTGGCCCAAAAAAAAGTACTCCTGTTTGATTCGTAATAACATCTAAACAAGTATAGCTTTTAAAGAGAAATAACTTGCATCAAATAGAGGAAGGACTAACTTAGACTTTGATATATTACAGTTGTATTTCACTTAAAAATTCACGGAGATATTAATCTTTAAATTCGGGAGGATATTTCTGGATGTGTCTGAAATATGCAAAATCGGCGTATCAAATATTAATCAAGATTTGCCCGACTGAAACATGCACTATTACCAGTAAATAAATGACACTTGACAAATTGTTTATTATGAAACAAAGTATTATTATATCTACAAAATACAAGCAAGATTCATTCGTCCGAAATTCGCGTGTGTTCCTAGCACGAATACGTTTCCTTATTTCATGAGACCACTGCATCGCGAAGGATCGTCATTGGATCGTTCGTAGTTCTGAATTAGGGCATGCTGTCACAACGGAATTGTGAAGCTCTTCTAACTTCTGCAACGTTCTGAAATCTTGTTAAGAACACCCAAACTCTTTTGCCGTTTCTTAATCTTGGCAAGTTCATGGAGTAAACTGAGAATTATATGAAACACAATCAAACCATACAACTCCATAAGACATAACAATTAAGCAACTCCCCAAAGACATGCAACATTTTTGGAACAAAACGTAACAAAATAGTAGCGTTGATACGGTGATGTGTATTTGCAAAAAGCAATATTATTTCCTTCAATAAAGAATATTCATCCTGCTCTAACCGAGAAATAATCTACTCAGTCTGTTTGAACCCATTAAAAACATAAAAAAATTAGGCTATTTAAGAATACGAAAAATTTAAGCGCCTGCCTTCCATGGTCAGTCTTTCATGTACATTTAAGTTTGCAAAGACCTAATATTAAATACTTGTATAATTTCGAACGTTCATATTTCAGGAAACAATGAGCTAAGACTTACATGTAAGATGTCTAAATCTACGCCATATCCCTTACAAACCTTAACGATAATTCGCTGAAATACAAGTTAGCCTAATATGTCATTAAGCAAACAAACGCTGGAGTTAATATTTGATATTAGTCCGTATTCCCAAGCCGATTATCGTTCAGTTTCGTTGGACACCTTCGGAGACTACGCCAAAAACTCAGAATATATAAATTTTTACTCACCTTTCAGCTTGTTGGCACTGCTAGAAACCTGCAGTTTTTTAGAAATTTGCATTTGAATTTCAACAATTGGCACTCCTCGAAATTCGAAATCCGCCATTTTGTTTCCAAGGAACTTCATGTAAAATATGTTGAAGTAACTAGTCTCAGGCTCTTTCCAGGGGGGAGAACTACACGCGCAAGGACAATTGAGCACGGTTTATTCACAATAAACTCGAAAACATCGGACAAAAATTGACGTTGACGGTTGGTATTTCACACGAACTGATTTAAACATATTAATACAACTAAAATACAACTTGAGGTGTCTCCCTTCAATTTAAAAATAGGAGGAAATAAAAAATTAGATCAAACATTTTGAAGGAATATTACTTGACAGAAGTAAAAAGTTGTGCAACTTTTATAAAGCAACAGTCAAAGAATTTGAAATTGGTCACAAGAGCGACGTCATCGCTGTTGCTATGGCAACAATGACGATTCAAGATATTAAAAAAATATATTAAAATAAAAATATTATGTTTTAAAATTCTGAAGAGCCAAAAAAATTATTTCGAAAAACCATGTTTATAATTCTTTTAAATTTAGCTCAACAGATTTGTTTTTAAAATTGGTCAAATATTTTGTCGTACTACAAGAAAATGTTTCCTGAAATAAAAAAATCGGTTAACCATGCGTATTTTTTAGTGAAGTGTTATTTTTGATTTCTAGCAAATAACATCTCTTCAAAGAGTTGATCTAATTTGTGCATTTTCAACATTTCTATAAAATGTAGGGAGCTACTTTAAATATCATCATCCATATCCAAACCGAGCTCTTCCTCTTCTTCCACCTCTTTGTCTGACTGTTCGTCATCAATCGCTGCATTCATACACCCAGCACAAGTACATACATCTGTACATTGGATCATGGCTTTCTTGCACGAACAACGGTGAGTTTCGCAACCAGTCTTGCAACCACAATGGATGAATTCAAGTATCGAGTCCCGTGCCGGAGGACGGGTCAACCACACGATCTTCAACTCTCCGTCGACTATCCGCCATCCATGACAACCAGGAGGGATATCCATTTCTGCGTCAAGACACTGGCGCCAAATAGCTGCTTGATAGTTTGCCCGACGTATGTGTTGCAGCAAGCTTTCACATGTTGGCGGTAGCATGTCATCAGAACACTTTCCCAATTTGAACAATGCAAACCTACATTTGTTGACATTCTCGGATGTTTTGTCGCCATACATCAAGCAAACAAACCTTATTCAGCTGTGCAACGAGATCATCCGAAGGAGAAAAAGTACTCCCATGCAAGTGATACGAATGCAACCACGTATCCACGATTGCGCTCGAGCGTGTCCCACGTCGTTTTCTTACCTTTCCGATAAAAGGAACTGGTGCTGTCACAACCTAAAAAATATATTATGCAATGTTATTATAAGAAACTGATATATAAGAAACTACAGCCGTATATGCGCGATCCTACAAGTCAGTGGCGGAAATCTTGGTGGGGCGGGTGGGCGTCCGCCCCCCCCTCCCCCCACCTTCACGGAAAATTGACGAATTTTTTTTTTACCTAAAAGAGGGCTAAAAACAGTCTTTTCGAGTGCAAGTGGGGGGTACGTCGGAAATTTGAAAGTTTTGACGCAAATTTAGGAGGCTTTGCTCCCCCCCCAAACGAATAAAGTGAATTTCCGCCACTGCTACAAGTAACTGAACAGGCTAATAAAAAAGTCAGTTCCTTGTATACCTACTCACGCAAACACTGAGAAAGGTTTTCGTCCATCGCCTCCACGATAGTCTTGATGGATATCAACCGAAAATGATTTCCCGTTCCCGTCATAACAATACTGATTGAGGTTTTAATTGCACGCTAATGAAGCGTGAGATTGTCCCCATGGGCACTAAATATTAGAATATTCACAACTGATCTTTATGGGCATTTACATCGATTACAGCTGCTCATATTTTAATTAGTACTTATTAACACCAATTAACAATTGGTGGAAATATAAAAGAACAGGAGAGAAAAAAATCTTTGTTCCTAATACGATTACTACGCTTCCAACGCACAATGATTACTAATACCACCAATGCGCGGCCAACCTCTTATTACATACTCGCCCGGCCCCCTTTTGGTCACATGATGTGCCGACGTAACGAGGCTTGGTTCCCTAGCTGTTAACCTTTGTTATTGCATAACCTCATGAAACCTGTATAGTGGTTAAAAACTTGTATAGTGTTAATTATATACCTGTATAGTAGGCTTATATTCAGGG